TAAGAACACGGCGCGCGTAGACTTGCTGTTTCAGCTGTCCATAGTTAAGCTCTTTTGTTTTCATTATAACCTTTTGTTTTTTTAGTTTTAGAAAAACGCTAGAAAGTAACCATCGTACAGAAAAAGGCATGGCCGGCAGAAAAGCCGTCTTTCCCCAAAAAATTGAAGCGCAGTCATCTAATGGGATTTTGGGGTACTAGAAGCTGCCTCGCGTACTCAATCATCCATCACCTCATCTGAGACGGATTTTATGTGTTGTCACTCAGTGCTAACAGTTAGTGATAAGAGTAAGAACCCCTGCGACTGAGCCCTGAGGCTAATTGCTAGACTTAATTCTATTACGATATTAGCTAAAGATAGAGTGTCCGGCTGATTCTACCCCTTCTCATGCTTTTACCTTTTACTTACCCGGACATGGTAACGGCTGGGATATATTTAGGGTAATGGTATATGATAAATGGAAAAGCGCTCTGTAGCAGCACACTTCCCTTCCAGGCAGCAAGGCTCTCTTTTTCCTGCACATTCAATCCCTCGGGAGAGGTTATCCGCCGCTTCACTATGCGAGGGATTCGAATCGATCCCTAATTAGGAGAAGCAGCCCACCGAGCAAAACTTGTGTAGGCGCGACTAGGATGAGCACGACGAGAAGCCACGGCGGGTAAGAGGGAGTCTGGAAAACTAAGGGATTGTTGTTTGAGAAGCGCCTGAACAAAGCAACGATGGCAGATGACATCATCAAGCAGTCGTGTAATCCTAGCTTTTGATGACGAATTAATTTTTCGTTGCTACTGTTTTGAAGCTCGTGAAGAGAAGAAGAGGGGACTGGAAGGGGTTGAATGAATGAGGAAAACATGAGGGAAGGGAGACAACAGGGCAGCTTATAGGAACCTGTGAGGCAATTAGGATATCTTCTTAACCCTCAAGATTGTTGAGCCCTTGATTACCCTTTTATGGGCTATGAGAAGGTCAGATTCTATCAGTGATGTGAGTGATCAGATGATATTTCAACTTCAGGGATATTTTTTACCATTTCTCTGTTTCGAGATTCTTTTGCATAAATAATTAAGTTCAACGAAACAGTGGAAGAGATAAAACTTTTCGAAACCGAGATTTAAAATTTCAATTGCAAAAATCTGGCTTCCCTCTCCTACTTGTAAGTGCACTGCTATCGTTTTTGATCTTCCGCGTGGTGACTGTTGGTTCATTTCCCTCGTCTGAGTTTTCGGTCGAACTCCCCAAAATTCCGTGGGAAACCCTAGGTAGAAGAAGCGCTTGACGGTTTGAAAGCATTTCTTAACCCTTGAGCCACCTCTGAGCCTTCGAAGAACGAGATTTAGTCGAAACAGCGAGCCAACAATAAGGTTTCCCACCCAAAAACCTCATCGGCAGAAGGAAAAAAATCGGCCGCTAAACTTTTTTCAACCCTATAGGCCAGCTTTCGAGCCTAGTTCTACTCTCAAGTTTGAGATATTTTGAATAGATTTCTGGTAGATTTTCGAAAATCTGCCAATATGTTGCTCTATATCCACCTAAGTACCCGTCATGGCAAAAAATCCAAATTTTCGGTGAAGCCATATGAGCAGTATTTTCCATAACCTTCCGATCAATGTGTCTTCTGGCTCCGAGCCAATCTCGTCGTCCTAAATCACTGATTATTCGATTTTTTTCAGAGCTGCCATGAATTTTGACAGCCTGTTGTCCTGCTCTCATCATCACAAACGATGATTATACTTAGAAGTCGTACTCAATTCACTCCATACCTTAAAGGAGGAATTCACGATTAGAATGAAGGTCGAAGAAAGGGAAACTGACCTAGTTGAGGGACCCACGGACCTCCTGAGGGTGCGAACTGACGCGCAATTCGCATGGAAAAATTTGACCTCGGCGACCTATCATGCCTCAAAGCTGGCGGGTCCGGCGATCTCCGCCCACCGATCATCTGATCACTCGCCCCCCCCCCCCTCCGCCCCTGTCACCCACGCGTAGTTCAATACGTGGCGAGTGATTAGATAGCTGAGAGAGCGTAGTGTTGAAGAGGGCACAGCGATGAGAGTCGCATCAATGCTCGAATCAACGGGCAAGGAAGGGGTACCATTTCTCGGGTTCTGGGCCGTTTCTCATGGTTCTTCCTTCTTTCGTGTACCACTCACCATCCCTAGGTTAATTTGAAATGGGTTGCTTTTTCATCGTGAATTCGTCCTTTAAGTGCCGAAAGAGACAAGTAATGTACTGCAGTGAAGCTTTTAACATGCACGTGCAGAGCTAACAACTAGATAGGAACATTACAGCTCAGATTTCATTGAAAAGCTGTGCACTAAAAATTTCGGAAGCAACCTCTTATAATGCTGTTTTCAAAATCTCTTCATAGAGAAAGATGTAATGTTGACTTAAGCAAAATCAGTGGTAGTGTATTGACCGATATTCGATCGTTTTTAGAAGCTCACACGGACTGCTGAAGGCTCTGCTCGTTTTTACCCTGCCTTTGATGATTCACAGGTGGGATCTGAATTCTCTATTAGTCATGCGTAAGAGGCTTGAGAACCAACGTCGGTTGTTCTATTCGATTGCTATTGAATCACCGATTTTTTTCAGTTTTCAACACCTCGAGATGAATCTGTATGCGCCAAATTTGAGCAGCTGCTCAACGAATCCGACGTACGAGAAGCATCGAATTCGGCTGCCCAAACCTCAGGAGTTCATGTCAATATCGAGTCTTATCGATGTGGTAGGTCACATTTTCAATTTGAGGTGTTCTGAGCAAAATATACACTGTAGTCGAAATTCAAAAAAGACCATTCTATGTAATTTGGAACAGCAGAAATAGCAAAATGAGACGTCACTCGGTTAAAAGCCCGATAAGAATTAACTAGCGTGGGACGGAACAACCTGAAAAAAAAATTGTGTTCATCAAAAAATAGGTAAAAGCCTGCATGCTCGACTTCGGTTTCTTGGTCGCGCCCGCATCCGTCTTTCCTTTCTTGGACACAGTGGATCGCTGACAGCGTCCTCCTCACGCATTAGAGCCTCTGGGAGTGCGTTCCGGGCAATACCGATTTTGAAAACCAACTGATGTAATGACAGTATTCTTGTCACGCCAGACCAAAGCTCCTGTAAAGATTTGAGGCTTAGTTGCTCTGCGCGTGAAATAAACCCAAATTTTGGTCGTAATAGTCCAACGTCTGCCGTTAGTTATTAACCCATCGTGCTCTTGCTGAACAAACTATTACCAAATGCGATCTTAAAGCGAATGTGTCCAGGATCGAAAACTGTGCCATGTTTCATAGGCACACAGGCAGCTCTTCTGTGAAAACCAGCAATAAAATCTTCAGCGGCACTGTGATCCGTGACCTTTCAGTGGACCGGACTTCGAGCAGTGGCGAAAAAGTATGGACTGAGAATTAATAAGTAAGAAGGGGTTGCCGATAGCGGCTCTTTATGTTGAACTAGCCAATATCAGAAAAAAGCCAGTCGTTTCAGGCCGATGAAAGATGCTGCATCCATTGCATTGGCTCGTATATAGGCGGATGACGAGAATGTATTTCCAAGTGAGGACTCGGTTGAGTAGCGTAACCAGCAGGAGAACTTCGTCATTTGGTTATTTTAAGGACGTTATTGGCGAGTTGAGCCGTCCCCGATTACTATCGACTTGTTCGATCCGAAATTTCGACCATGGTTTGTTCAACACCGAGTCGGCTCCAAAGGACATCGTGTTTCTCATTGACTTGTGAGTTTTCAAGCGCAGCCCGTGAAAAAAATATAAAAAAAAAAAACATCTGTCCACTTTCAGATATTGGATTTTGTGATTGGCTACAATTTATTTGCAGTGCACGTTTTTTCAAACGCTTTGAATCCACTTGACTCAATGCATTGTTCACCAACGGTTGCTCTACCAAAGGTGGAAAATCCAAAACAGCTGGTAAAAAGTAGTACTGACCGTGTGAAAGCAACGACGTGATCGTAGCGTTAATGAACGGCTTAGCAATTCTTTGGGCCCCTGAAGCTCGGGAAATGAAAGCGTTGCTTTTGAATACAAGTCCATTTGACGCAGCGGCTGCTACTTATGAAGTATGATGACTCAGAACTTTCACACTACAAAATTGGTGCTTGTTTCCTGAGCATTTGATTGAAAATACAACTCTCATCAGTCAGTCACTACAATCTCCTGCCATTATGCGATTCGAGTTCTCGCACGCTTGCCGATGAACTTGTCGACATAGCGCCTTGTTCTGCTTATCATTCACAATCGGACTTCATATTCAGACGTCCACTCATTCACTCCGTTCCTTAAATGGACGAATTGCACGATTAGAATGAAGGTCGTCGAGACCATGGTGAAAACCTGACCTTGGATGGCGAAGCCACAGACCTCCTGAGGTGGCGAACTGACCGCTAATTCCGCATGGCACAATAATTTGATCTGCGGGCGGGGGGAAACCTATCCATGCCTCAAAGCTGGCGGGTCCGGCGATCTCCGCCCACCGATCATCTGATCACTCGCCGTAGTTCAATACGTGGCGAGTGATTAGATAGCTGAGAGAGCGTAGTGTTGAAGAGGGCACAGCGATGAGAGTCGCATCAATGCTCGAATCAACGGGCAAGGAAGGGGTACCATTTCTCGGGTTCTGGGCCGTTTCTCATGGTTCTTCCTTCTTTCGTGTACCACTCACCATCCCTAGGTTAATTTGAAATGGGTTGCTTTTTCATCGTGAATTCGTCCTTTAAAGTCGAATACGCATGAACAAGTAAATCGGTACTGCAGTGAAGCTGATTTAACATTGCCCGCGCAGACCGCTAACAACTTGATAGGAGCATGCTACAGCTCAGCATTCCATTGAAAATGCTGTATGCACTAAAAATTTCGGAAGCAACCTCTTATAATGCTGTTTTCAAAATCTCTCATAGAAAAGATGTAATGTTGACTTAAGCAAAATCAGTGGTAGTGTATTGACCGATATTCGATCCGTTTTCAGAAACTCACACGGACTGCTGAAGGTTCTCTGCTCGTTTTTACCCAGCCTTTGATGATTCACAGGTGGGATCTGAATTCTCTATTAGTCATGCGCGTAAGAGGCTTGCAGAAGCCAACGTCGCGTTGTTCTTATTACCGCATTGCTTATTGAGGGTCCACGACTTCCTTTTTCGTTTTCCAACCACCCGAGGTAAGCTCTGTTAGTGTGCACCATCTTGAGCCAGCCTGCCTCAACGAACCGAGCGTACCGAGAAGCCATCGAATCGCGGCTTTGCCCATAACCTCATGAGTTCAATGCTCAACTATCGAGCTCCTTATCGACGGTGATAGGACACATTTTCAATTTTGACGGGTTGTTGGCTGAGCAACAACAGTCCACTGTAGTCATCGAGAAATTCAAAAGAGACCATCTATGTAATTTTTAGATACACGAGAAATTGCAAAATGACAGGCGGTCATTCAAAATAAAGCCCCGACCTTAAGAAATCAACTCCCGAGAGCGTAGAGGCGGAACTGAAAAAAAGTTGGGGGCCGCCCGCCCCCCTCGCCCCCGGCAGCGTCCCGCCCCCAAGCGACGACGGCACGCATTGCGCGGGTGCTTCCATCAAAAAATGGCTAAAAACGCCGAATCGCATTGCTCGACTCTGCTTTTCTTGGGCTCGCCGCCCCGCATCCGGGCTTCCTCTTCCTGGCGGACAAGTGGATCCTCCTGGTGCTCGCGCCTCCCTTTCACGATTAGAGCCTCTCGGCGGTGGGGTATTCCGCCGGCCCTACGACCTTTGGGAAATCAAACTGGTGTATTGACAGTATCTCTTGTCACGCAGAACGAAGCTTCCTGTGTGTAAAAATTGAGCGGCCTTACGCTGAATCTGCGCTGTGTGAAGTCAATCGCCAAATTTTGGTGATATGTCCCACGTCAAGTGTGTGAGTACCATACCCATTCCGTCGCTCGTGACTTGAACAACCGTATACCAGCATGGCCTCTTAAGCGACATGTGTCGGTCGAAACTGTCACATCTTTACGTTAAGGGCACACAGGCAGCTCTCTTTAAACTGAGAAAAATATTCAGGACGCACCTGGTGATCCTGCGACTTGCGAAGCTGCAGCACCCGGAGCTAAAGTGGGCGCAAAAAGTTATGCGCTGAGAAATCAAAGCGTAAGACATGGGCTGGACTTGCCGCAAAGGTTCCTCCTCTCGCTGTGCACACTGACCGCTTCGTATAGAACAAAAAAAACAATTTTCAGGGCCGATGAAACGATGCGACATCAATTCATTGGTACGTATAGCGGATTGACGAGAATGTATCCAAGTGAGCCCTGTTGAATACCGTAATCCTAGCTGGAGAACTTCGTCATCTGGTTATTTTAAGGACGTTATTGGCGAGTTGAGCCGTCCCCGATCACTATCGACTTGTTCGATCCGAAATTTCGACCATGGTTTGTCAACACCGAGTCGGCTCCGAAAGGACATCGTGTTCCTCATTGACTTGTGAGTTTTTTCAAGCGCAGCCAGTGAAAACTGTCCACTTTCAGATATTGGTTTTTGATTGGCTACAACTTTTTTGTAGTCACGTTTTTTCCACGCTTTGTCCACTCTGACTCATTTTGTTCACCAACGATGCTCTACCAAGTGGAAAATCCAAACAGCTTGGTAAAAGAAGTACTGGCCTTGAGACAACTACGTGATCGTAGCTTGAATACGTAGCATTCTTTGGGCACCGAACCTCGGGCAGAGAAATGAAAGCGTGACTTTGAATACAAGTCCATTTGACTGCAGCGTTGCCCTTATAAGTTTGCACTTCAGAACTTTCCACTACAAAATTGTGCTGTTTTCTGAGCATTTGTGAAAAATTGTAGCTGAATGCCTTTCATAGAAACAGATGGAAAAGCCCTGCGACAAAGAGACGAAATCGAATTCACCCAAGCACATATTATATTACGAAAAAGTGAGAAGGGGAGTGAATTAAAAATTTTCTGCATGTTTAGCCGGAACTCTTGAAGACTGTGTGTATTCTTTTGGGTTCCTGAACAAAACATGTCATCACAACAACTGCTGCGGAAGAATGGTCAAATCATGGCTTCAGAAGAGCTTCGAACCAGCACCTGTGCTTTGCTCGCCGCACTCTTATCCATTACCCTACCGAAACACATCACTACTTTTAATTATTATATGCTCACGTCATCAGACTCGAATGTTCGAGGCATAGTCGCTTAGGCCGCCGCATTGCCAGAATCCACAGAATCAAATTCCGCCAGGCGTAAGCAAAAAGCTCCATCCATTCGCAAGCCAGCAAATTGCCAAACATGTTTTCAGAAAGTATTCCCCATTCTTCAAGGGCCGAATGCATACGCCTATCACAACAATGTGAAAACATATTCAAATCACGGCTGCTAAAAGGTTTCACCCATGATTCAGCACTCATCTGACACTCTGTACGTCAAAAAATACCTCTGAAAATCTTGATGGACACTGCGTCTACATTCCATAGCGGCATTCTTCATCAACGAAAACTTAAGCCTTTGTCCAGTTTGCTGGCAGTGCTAGCCTGGTGCCTCATTAGCGACTTTCAAATTAATGGCTCTTCCCAAGAGATGAACACATGTTTTTCTATAACTGACCTCTTCATTCTCGGGATATTCTCTTTTAGATTACATCTATCGTCCCTTAGAGGCTTCAAGAAGACCGGTAAATGAGGAAAACTGAAACATATACTGCCACCAAATGAAGTTAAAGCTGCCCATCTAGTAATTCAATGGAAATTAAGGCAGTATTGACAAGTAACCACGCTTAAGAACATTCGTAAAATAAAAAGGTTATATTAAAAGAAGGAGTCATGTTACAATTTCTATGGCAACTGCGTGCAAGCTTAACAGCATCTTACGCTCGCGTGTTCTTAGCACTTGCTATCAGTGGCGCTTATTTATTAGACCCAGCAAGGGCCACGACATGAAGTTTGATTTTCAGCTCCGGAAGTGTAAAGGGCCCTACGATGCATCTCATAAAGGTCACAATGATGTACATACTGTCAACGCTGTCACCAAATGACTACTTCTTTTGGTAGGTGATTCTTTTTTAAGAGTGACATTTAAAAGAACAGAAGCCTCCCAAAAATAGTTACCATTCTGATTTTGGAGGCAACACTAAGGCGGTGAAACTCCAGTTCGGGGGGGGGGCACTCCATTTTTTCTCCAATACTCAAGATAAGGATTAGAGGGCTCACGACACGTAATCGACTCATTTAAAGTAGACTTCTGATAAATATTGGTGTAATGGGTGAGAAACCCTGAAACGTTTTCACATTTCCGCCTGCCATGACCCAAGGGAACGGTCCTGGACCAGGAGAAAGGACACCTCCGCAAAGGGCTAAGGGTGCAGGAGCTCCAGGGTGGATCACCTGTGCAGAAAAGTGGATGGGATGTGGGCAGGTAGTGTGGAATGTAGGACATCCACCGGTCCTTATCAAAAGTACGCTCGAAATGAGTCGTTCACTTATTATCTTATCCGTAGTGTTCGATAGCCCAAAGAACTGCTCTCTAGTACTACGGATAAGATAGCAATGGAGTGGCCCCCCCGAACTGGAGTTTCACCACTCAGCGATTCGAATCTGGTCCGACCACATCACTCAGTGTACTGCGAAGTGTCTTCGGATCACCTCAAGCTCCCTTTATTAATGATGTCTCAAAGTTGCCGGCCATCGTGTAACTGACCTTGAAATTCTTTTGAGAACCTCTGAATATTCTGAATGTGTCCTCAAGTGCGGAATTTACTGTGAAAGGCAGCCTGTGAGGAGTTAATGCGGGGTGGTCAGTGATGCAAGGATGAAAAAAACCAAGAAAAAACTCAGAACACTAGCAAGGGACACTTTTTGCCCGTTTATTTCCGCACTGGTCTTTTCAGTCTTAATGAAACTGGTGTCATCAACGTTGAAGCTCTTCCCTGCGTCTCTACTAAACGGCTCGTGTGCACGGCTAGAGTTCGACAGCGAGAGGGTGTAGTGTAGCGTCGCGAACGTCACCGATACACCCTGCTGGGCGCTATGGGCATACCCTTCGCGCGCCGCCCCGCACCCTAGGAGTCCCGCCTGCTTTGAGGAAATTTTCTGATTTTTTAAATTTTTCTTTCTTCGACCTCCGACGCTGCCGCGCAACCTCCTTCAAGAGGCAAAATTAGCTCGCCATTATCGCCCAGCTCAACTTCCATTGAAACCTGTTGTGAATTTCAGGTGTATATTTCAATTCCGTCTTTGCTCCGATTCTTTCATGTGCCAATGGGACGTTTCTGCCAGCCACAACGAGTAATAAAAAGGTATTTTTTGTAATTCTCAAATCTAGTTGTAGATAACTTCCCCTTGCTCATCACTTCGCTAGCTCCTTACGCGAAATAAGCGTATGGACTTGAGCTGGTGAATTATCGACGTACATAACTGAGGGCGACTCTTTCCTCATCGTGACGTTCGCTCATATGAATTGCAGATTCACTCCTCTGCGCAGGAGGTATTTTTGAATACTCCAGAAGAGCTCACCTTTCCCTCTGGGGACCAATGAAAGAAAGAATGCACCACAACGCTGCGTAAAAGAGCACATGAACGAGCGTTTGGTGTATCATCCAGAGTTACGATCCTCCTGAAGGTGTCGCGATAGAAAATAGAGATCCGAATAAGAATTTTCGCAGCGAGGTCCCTTGAGGCTACTGAGAAATTCTGCTAGAGCATGACTACCACACTCATTCAGTCCGAGATTGGCTAGTCGAACGAGTTTGCATACAGAAGTCGTCTGCCTTTATAGATAAAATTCTTTGATAATCAGCGCGTCGTTTCCAGGAGGAGGTATCTGAGAGGAGAAGAAAAGTGATAATCGCTCTCAGCGGAAACGCCACCGATTTCTGAACTGCAGCAAGCATTTCGGACCGAAGTAATCCTCCCACATTTAAAAAAATAAATAGGAAAGTCGGGGAGGGGGCCCAGAGGCTAACAGCGTTGCCGGATCACTGAACGACACTAACCAAAAACTCTCTGAGATAATCGTTGTAGAAGTCACCGTCCATAAGCAGCACCATAGATATGACCGTGCGGTACGTCTCACACCAAACGCATCGGAGTATATAATAAAACTCCAGCTTAACTCGTAGAAATGAGTTAGGAACCGTCGCGATGAACCGTCGAATGGAACAGGTATGCCACCCTTCTGAGCTTTCGCCACCGTTTCTAGAAAAAAATCATTCTATCTGCATAATTCTAAGCGAGCAGTCCAATCCACTCTCTCCTGCAGGAGATGGCCCTGCAAGACAAAGTGGGGCCAATCGCACTGACTTTGGTTGGTCTGACCAGTTTTACTGACAAAACATTCATTTGGGCAACACGAAATAGGCAAAATTTGGCGGCGGAAGGCGGTGACTGCAGAGAAGTGAGCGCTTGTATTGCTCTTGAATATCCACCACTCGGCAGCGGTGTTTGCCCATTTGCGGCCCCTACAATGATCGCGGTAATCGAGTGCGTGGCGTATCCATTCTTAACGGGAATTTAATATTATATTGAATTTTATCGGATTTTGATAGCATCTAATTACTTACTCTTTGAATGCTCTAATTATCTCGCAGATTTTCTTCGAACGGCTTGGAGAGCTCGAAGAGAAAGACCAAGCCCATGTATCAGCACCTCTGCGATTCTCACTGGACGCATTACGAGGGGTAAGGTTTTGGCAATAAGCCAATTCCGATGTTGAAGATATCTATGGAAAACTAAAAATCAAATCTAACTGTGTTATAGGATTTAAATTCGACAAACTCAGTGTTCCCGAATTACCGTTCCGGAGGGCATAAGTTACTTATGCTGTTCACTGACGGCCTCGACGAATGGCCCCATGCGGTGATGGACGAAGAACTGCACAACAGGCATGGCGACGTGGTAGGTAACGGACCATAGAATGGAAAGCCATTAGTTTCATCAAGTAATACTCGTTCAGATACGCATGTTTGGCTTCTCAATGGGATACGGTACCGGACAGCTGCCACTGCTGCACTGGATTGCCTGTAGAACGTTTGCGAAATACTCGAGTACTCATGTTGAACTTTCTGGTGTTCAAGGGCCGAATGTGAAAAACAAATTTCAGTTATCGATTCAATTATGGATGTAAAACCACAATCTCGTTCATACCTGGATCATTTAAGCGCTGCGCTCGGCAGAAGTCTTGAAACCACGCCCATTGAAGCACGACGGATAAGCTGGTCAGTTTAGAGCTTTTCAGGAAAGTGAAATTAAATTTGGAACGTAATTGGCTGGCTTCGCACCGCAGTGGGCTTCCTTTATACCTATAAAAAAGCAAGTGGGGTTAGTGCAGAAGTCCGAAAAGTATGAGCCAAGTCGTTTCTTCACAAGTCTC